TATTAAGATCAAACCTATTCTTAATTCTTGTTTTTATTTCAAAATACAAAGTCGAAGCTTTTAGAACGCATCTTTTTCCAGCAAATGAATCCATGGCCGGCGAACATGCAATTTACACGCGGACTCGGTTGTTGCGAGCTGCATCGAGCCCTGCAAGCTGGAATTCTTTTTTTTTGTCTCTCTATTAGTCGCTGCCGGTTCCTTTTTTTGACTGGCGGCAGTGAAAAACCAAATTCAAATCGGTTACTCGCAACTAACGAGTCCTCATAATATTTAAAATGCAAAGCRGCGGACCCTAATAATTCTCCGATTTTATACACAGAATACGAAGCCCCAGACCGTTCGTGACCTGAAGAGTCTAAAAATAATACTACATTCACCACGATTGTGAATTTTATGCTTTCGAGTAGCCCAAGAGTGAATCGAAGTAACGAATTCTGTTGTGAATGTAGAAGTATAAATAAAAGTTGCCTTAGGAAATTGCAGGACGAAGAATGTTTGAGAGATCTAAAACATACAAACGCCCGTGCATAAAAGTATGCGACAAGATAAACGTCATACATGTAGCGTTACACTGTAATCAATTATCTATGTCGGGCTCTAAAACATCTAATGTAATTTCGTTTTTTCGTCCAATGTTACTCTATTACCTTGAAATAAAGCACGAAAGCATAAAATACTATTATTTTATAAAATAGTTGGAACTTTTGGATAGATTAACCATTCCAACTGGATCAAAATCGAGGTAGAAATGCTCCCCACAAGATACAGTACAAAAGGGCAAGAGAATCGCATATGACCACATTTAAACACAGTTAGCTCATTTTCGATTGATGAAACAATTAATTCCAAAGAAATTYTACACACAAAAAAAATCGACTCCTGTACTGGTTGGTACAAACTYGAACTCGATTCCTAAATGGAACTTTTAAAAAACTCGAACTCGGGCCATAAAAAATATTTCGTTGAATGCCAAACCAGTAGGAATACTGTATAACCAAACAGCGCTTTGTACAGTATGATACTGTATGGGACTCGTTTTTTCGGCAACCGCGGTTAAATCGYGGTCAATTCTAGGTCAGGACGTGGCTTATTTGTGTTTTTACTGCGTGCACTGAACGCGCGACGGACGCGTCTTATGCCTCAATGATTTCAGGCGGTACTGTAAAGCCTCGAAATTTTACCTGATCATTGAAAATACAGTACAGCCCAGATGTATGTCACGGTGTCCACGCGTGTAACTTGGACAGAGTGCGTTAATTCATTACACGCACAAAAGTGTAAACCATACTTTGAGTGTAAAATTCTTTTGTTACACAGTCTTTGTTTCATAACAAAGGCCATAGAAATTCAGTATGAATATCATTTATATTACACRCGTCCGTTCAACTGATTACAGAAAAATCAAAATGATTTTGAATATTTGGTGAAATCAGAGATCTTATCATTTTTCTGTGTAGAGTAATTTAAATCATTCTCAGATAGGAGTTTGTATATGCATGTATTTTTCAAATGATAATAGTAATCAAAGAAAAGGATATTCTTAATACGAAAGCCTCCAAATCTGTGAAATCAGATCCCTTATCATTCTCCCATGCATCTACATATCAGGTCAAGTATTTCGNCCATGACCTCCCAGACAACATACTCTAGCTACATCAACTATAACCATGACCTCCCAGGCAACATACTGTTGCTACACCAACTACAGTATAACCCAGAACCTCTCAAACTACATACTGACTCTGTACTAGCCATGACAAGAAGCTGGCTTGTCACAAATTTAAAAGTAGAACATTGGTAATGTCAAAAACAATGTCAATAACTAAAGTTTAAAAGTTATTTATTTAAAGTATAATAATTATACAAATAATCCAAAAAAAATTAAATATACATACCTGAGTTAAAACTTGTAACAAGCCATAAGGTGGAGGAGTGTACTTTAACCTTTGTGCTATCAAGTCAACTAATAGACAAAGCATGTCATATATTCCATCTTGAACATGTGATCCCCATTGATGTACTGCTTGTGATGTTAACAGCTAATAATTGTCAAATATATTAGTCTATAAGATGAAAGGCTTTTTTTTTCATGACAAAGTATCAGATTGAATTACCAGCTAGATAAGGACATACATACCTTCTTAAAGCACTCTGGTAAAGCTCTATCCATAAAGCGCTTGCAATTTTCATCAGCTTCGGCTAATCCTATTCATGTACAGTTAAATGGACATTTTAACAATATATTAAACCAGAATAAATTGATCTTTGCATGAGTGTTGCTTTATAACTTTAGTGTTAGGGTTAGGGACTGTTAATATTTCACTAGGGAGGTAGTGGGATTTGGGTGGCAGAGGTCATTAATATACAATTACCATTGCATTTAAAAATGAACCAAAAAAGGGGTTACCAGTTGATGGAGCTGCAAATACTGTAGTAGTACTTTTAAAAATCAGATAAAAAGTTCTTATYTTTTACTACTGTTTATCAATTATGAAGTTCTCTTAGATTTTCTAAAATGTGTCTAAAGGTTTCTGAAGTTAGGTCTGTAAACAATATCACACAACAGTGCTTTGGCTTCTAAAGAAGTTATGGTTTTACTGTAAAATTGACTCAACTCATTCCTAAGGGGTTTTTTTTACTTTATTTGCTTTGAAAATTATATATTAAATCATTTTGTTGGAATCATGCAAGGAATCGTTACAAAATCAAAATATTTTGGTTGAAAAGGCTATTAAAATAGCTTTGCTTTCCCCGTAAAATGTCAATAAATTGTTCATGAGATAAATAATAATAATAGTGAATAAATTGTTGAAACAATACATAAATTTGAGTTTGACATGTATGTTTATACATGACTTGCTTCCTTCAACAGATAAATAAACAGTCTGTCAAACAGAAATGTTGATTAAGAGTAGCTAATCCTGCTGAGTACTGCATGCTTGGGAAATCAGTGTCATCAAAAGTCACAAATCAAGATTTTTTCAACCATCTAGCATATAGGGAATTCAATACACCCTTCTCATTATGGCTGATGAACGCACAGAAACGAGGTCACCCAGTCATCTTGCAAGGTTGAGCCAAGCTGCTTATTCAAAATAAAGGCTGTTAGCGCTATTATTCAGATCAAAACGAAGGTCATTTTTTATACGTTTCTTCTTTAAAGTCATTTAATGTAATTTTATATCTTTTATTGTGAAATAATGACTGGGTGACCTCGTTTTTGTGCACTTGTCAGCCATTATGAGAAGGGTGTATGATTGCTCACAGCAACAATGAGGTTTTGAGAAGCACTTGCACAGGGCATGTGCTTCCCTTGACAACTTTCAAATTTGTCACTTCCTGGGTGCTGTATTACTGAAGACAGCAAAGAAAAAGCTATTGTTAACTTTGCAATATGGCTAAAATTGAAGAAGTACTTTTTGGGGAAACATTAGCATTTTAGGCTCTCAAGATACTAAAACAAAAGACTTCATTTACTAAAATATATATTATAACACAAGTTAATACAGTTGAAACAGTGTTAAGTTAAAAGTCATATTGGGCTCGTAATACTTTTGTCCAGGTAGATAGCAGATGAAATAGAATTGGAACGCTGTACTTTTTTACCCAGTTTTGCTCACCTTCTTGTGCCAACCTTGTCGAACTTATGAGACATTTTCCAAGGGATTCTTCTTTTTTGAAAGGAATAGACCAGCTTTCTCCAAAAACTCTCCCTTCTAGCTCATATAAATGTGTAGTTGGAAACTCCATTGGTGCAGAATTCGAGTTTTCTTTCGTTTCTGTTTCCCCTGCACTTGCGTTGGCATTGACGACTTCGTCATAAGATGGCGGTGGTTCGGCAGAGGATTCTTCGAAGACATCACCCTCGTCCGTTACTTTATCATCATCTAGATTAGGAATGTCCATCTCTCCCTCATCAGATCCATGGTGGGTTTCAGTATCCCTCATTTCTGTATCTTCATATAATTCCATGTTTCCAGAGTCATCCGTCAACAGACCCACGGCCATATTCAGATCATTTTTAGCGATAACTAGAGCTCTGCGTATGAGAGCTGCATCTGCAAACCCCATGCTAAGCATGGATTTCACGTAGTTTTCGTCTGGCTCAACCATTTTCAATTTCTTCAAATATCTGTTCCTACCTACTAGATCTTTGCGAAACTACAACACTTCTGAGCGCCATCTTGGATTGTAATAAAGGCCCGGATGTCGGTTATTTATGCGCAGAAGCAGTGCAGGCAGGTTCCCAGTAACGACAGTTGTGCTATTCTTACCTCTTACGGTGTTTGACAGATTAATAAAAATTATTAATTATTCAATTATTAATTAATTGATAATTAAAATTCAGGATGTTTATTTATCATCTGATTTTTTAGAGAAATGGGTTTATGTTATTTTTGGTACTTTTTAGGAGTAAAAATAATTCATTGCCACACCTACCTTGACAAAACTTAGGAACCTTTTAGGGCCATTTTCATAAATTTCAATGATCCCTCCCCATCCTCAAAGCAACAAACATAATCGACAGTTAGATTTAATTCCCTTAACCATTGTCAGATAGGCATTATAAATAGTTAACAGTTATTAAAAATAAAACTGATATATATGTATAAAATAACAATATCTTAATATAATAATGAATATAGCGGCTCGTAAGAATTGGTATGTCACACCACATGCAACAAACATACTAAGAACTTTTTTCAAAACATTCATCATCATTGATTATTATAATAATTATTGAAAGCCCAGCAAAATTTCTACGAAATGAAAGGGAAAAATTGAAATGCTTAGAACATTTTTTCTACAATTTTTAGCATTAAGTACAGTACTGTTTAATAAACGAGCAAGAGTGTTTTATCGGGTATAAAACACGAGGCGTGGCCGAGTGGTTTTAGACCCGATAAAACACGATTTGCGAGTTTATTGAACGGCTTAGAAAACTCATGATGTATGTTCTCATATTGTACAGAATTCTTTACGAAATGAACCAAGTTTGATAGAGAAAACCCAAGTTAAAGTTTATGCAAATGAAGACGAATCTATATCAGATATAAAACCTCCTTCATGGTCATGATTTCTATTGTGTTTTCTTCATGAATTATTAATGAGTTTTCTAAAGTAATAAAGAACGAAAATAAGCTTGCAGAATAAGAGCTCTATAAGTGGGAAGCCAATTAAGTTTCAAAATAACATAACATACTCAGTGCCTTATAAGAAGCATAACAATGTGCAGTTGGAAAGCGTGTTCAATATGTTAAAGTTCAAATTGATAAAATAGTAATAAAATATGTATTAGTGTTAATAATAAAGTTCAAATTGATAAAGTTAGTAGTTATCAGCCCACATGATTGTAAATAAAATGCTGGTCTATAGCACTGTCTACCAGGCAGTGTGTCATTTTGATGGGTTGCAAGCATTCCCAAGAGAGTTTAAAGACAAAAACATGGCGGTCATTGTGGTACCGTTAACAATGGATGCTAATGAGAAATCTTTTGTTAAATGGCACCAACATGGCCGCGATGACGTAACGTGCAATCGAAGAATACTCGCGATTAGCGCTCGGTGCAAGGGGTAGGAATGAATATATGAAGTACTTACCTTGGTATGTGAAGTTCACTGCCCCAACACCCTCTCCATAAGGCATTCCAGAGTTTAAGAATCGTTTCAGTGCGCATGCGCTTTTATCCCAAGTTTCCAACTTCTTTTGTTTAACTAAGAATAAAAGGTTTCGACAAAAGCAGGTGAGAAATTCGGGATAAAATCGCATGCGCACTGAAAACGATTCTAAAACTATCAAAGGCTCATTGTCTCAACGTCTTGTTGGAATTTAAATTGTCTTCATGTAAGGCGCAGCATTCAAATGTTTCCCTCAATTGCTGCGAAGACTTCGAATGGGTTAAGAGATGCTTTTATATTTACGCGTAGAAAATATCTATTTTCGTAAGTATTAGTTTAGATCAACTCTTTAAAAAGACTGAACTCAAAAAAAGGATAGTGCATGGGGTAGCGCATGCACCAGTTTGCATGCGATTTATCCCGAGTTTCCACCTTCTTTTGTTTAATTAAGAACAAAATAAATTTTCGACAAAGGAAGCTGAGAAATTTGGGATAAAATCGCATGCGCACTGAAAACGATTCTTAAACTATCAACTGGCTTATTGTTTCAAAATGTCGTTGGAATTTAAATGGTCTTCATATATGAGGCGCAGTATGCAAATTGTTGACCCAGTTGCAGCGAAGACTTCGAATTAATGAGGTAAGACTTTCTTATTTTACGCGTAGAAAATACTTATTTTCCTAAGCATTACTTTACATAAACTCTTAAAAAAGACTGAAATTAAAAAGTATAGAGAGGTAGTGGGGTRTTTGTGGATTTTTTTGATTCAAATTCTTTGATTTTGTAGTAAATTTCAGAAACCCTTACCCTAACCCTAGATAAAAAATCTAGTTTTTAGCACATTTCTGGTTTAAAGCGCTACATTTTAGTTAGGTTTTGTGTCTCAAAATGTGTCTCGTGTGTGGCAAACAATTTATTCGAGTCTCCTACTATACCAAACTAAACTCAGGTTTAACTAACCTAACCATACATTTATTTAGTTCCGTACATGTATTTAGTTCCGTACATGTATTTAGTTCTACATTTATTTAATACCGTACATTTATTTAGTTCCGTACATTTATTTAGTTC